GGGCTTTGTTTGCTGTTGTCTTTCTAATTCTTTTAGGTGTAGTGTTAGATTTTTTTTATATATGAAATTTTTCTTGCTTCTTGAGATAGGTCCTCTCAGGACCACTATTCTTTGTCCCATAGATTTTGGGTTGATGTGTGTTCATTTTCATTTGTTTCCAGGAAACTTTTTTTAAATCTCATCCTTGATCTCATTGAGTACCCATTCATTATTTAATAACTTCCTATTTAGCCTCCAAGTATTTGACTGTTTTGAGTCTATTTATTGAGGTTAATTTCTAATTTCATGCCATTCTGATCCAAGAAAATGCTTGATATGATATAAAGTTTCTTGAATTTGTTAAGGCTTGTTTTGTGGCCTAGCATGTAGTCTATTTTTGAGAGTGATTCATGTGCACTTGAGAATAATGTATATATTTCAACTTTGGGATGAAATGTTCTCTAAATATACATTAAGTCCATTTGATCTAGTGTGTCATTTAGTGCCATTATATCCTTGATGGTTTTTTGCCTGGAAGATCTATCCACAGTGGGACAACAAAATCCCTTATTATGATAGTATTGTTGTTGATATCTTTCTTTAAGTCCCCTAAGATTTATTTTATATATTTAGGTGCTCCTGTATTGGAGGCATATATGTTTACGAGGGTTATGTCCTCTTATTGGATTGAATCCTTAAGAATTATGCAGTGCTCCTCTCTGTCTCTTTTTTTTTTTTAAGGGATTTTTTTAATTTTATTTATTTATCTTTAGAGGGGAAGGGAAGAAGAGAGGGAGAGAAACATCAATGTACGGTTGCCTTTTGTGCGTCCCCTGCTGGGATCTGGCCTGCAGGGAACCTGCCTGCAACCCTGGTATGTGCCCTGACTGGGATTTGAACCGCGATTGTCTGGTTCGCAGGCCCGCGCTCAATCCACTGAGCTACACCAGCCAGGGCCTCTCTGTCTCTTTTTAAGGCCTTCATTTTGAAATCTATTTTGTCAGATATAAAGATTGCTACATTCCTTTTTTGTTTGTTTGTTTCCATTTGCATGGAATATTTTCCTCCAACACTTACTCTTAGCCTGTAGAACTCTATTCCTTGCTCTTCTTATAAAAGGTCCTTTAACATTTCTTGAAATGCTGGTTTGGTGATAATTAACTCTTTTAACTTTACTTTGTCTGAGAAGTTCTTATTTGGTGTTCAATTTTAAGTGATAGCCTTGCTGGGTAACACAATCTAGGCTGCATGTTCTTAGCTTTCATTACTCTGAATATTTCCTGCCTGTCTCTTCTGACCTATTGTGTTTCCATTGAGAAATTGGCTGAGATTCTAATGGGTGCTCCTTGTATGTAACTGACTATCTCTCTTTTGCTCCCTTTTAAATTCTCTCTTTGTCTTCAAGCTTTGCCATTTTAATTATGATGTGTCTTGCTGTAAGTTTCTTTGAGTTCATCTTTATTGGGACTCTCTGACCTTCCTGGCTTTGTGTGCCCTTTTCGTTCACCAGGTTAAGAAAGTTTTCTGCCATTAGTTCTCCAAATAAATTCTCTACACTCTTACACTCATTTCCTTCTAGCACTCTAATGATGCAGACATTGTTATGCTTGATGTTATCCCAAAGGTCCCTTAGACTTTCCTCATTTCTCTTAAGTCTCTTTTATCTTTCACTTTCTCTTTGGGTAGATACTGTCATCTTGTCCTCTAATTCACTGAGTTGATTCTCTGCTTCATATAACCTATTGTTGATGCCTTCTGGTGAATTCTTCATTTCAGATATTATAATCTTCATTTCTGACTGGTTTTAGTTCACACTGAGATCATCTATTCTTCCCTTAAGGTGTTTGAACATCCTTATAACTATTATCTTAAACTCTGCATATGATATTTGTGTTGCTTCCTTTTCATTCCTTTTGTCGGGATTTCTTGGGACATTTTTCTTTGTCACTCCATTTGATCTCTGTGTGTTAGGTAGATGTGCTATGTCTCTTGAATATACTTTGATTGTTTTATGATATTGGTGTCTTTCTGGGGTTAGTTGTTCAATCCTTCAGATCACCTGAATTCCATGGTTCAGGAGTGTCTCTTGAGAATTCTGTGACCCTCTAGTTGTAGTTGTTTTAAATGCTGATGGCTTCTTTGTGGGTAGAGTTATCTTCTAAGGCTGGGAAACTATAAAAGTAACCATTAATCTCCATGTGTAGGATGCTATGCAGTTGCTGCCCCTTGATGTGGCTTTGTTCCCGGAAGCATCTGGAGCCACTGGCAATCTCCCTTTGGATATACTGATTGTGTTGCTAGTTGGTATAAGCTTCAGTGTGGGCTTGCATCCATCACTGGTTTTGTTGATTCTAGTTGGGTGGGGTTCAAAAATAGATCACTTTTAAGATATTGCATGAAACCAGCCCTAGGTTTTTCCTATATAGCTACCGGGCCATTCATCACTTGTGTCTATGTGTACTGGACCTGCTTATGCATGTAAGGGGATAGTCCATTTAAAAGAGTCAGCTCTTTCTTACTTGGAGCTGGTAGCAGCTCTGTATAGGAGCCAAAGCTCTCTGAGGTCAACGTCCTGCTCTTAAACTTTCTGCCCTTTCCTTAGGTTGCCTGGTTATTCTCCAGAGCATTTGACAGGTCTGTAAGCTGAGATAGCTTACTCAACAATCAGGTTTGTTGAGATAAGGCTAGCAGAGACTGTAGGTCATTCAGTGAGGGGATAGTAACCCCTACTCAAAGCCAACCCCTTTAGTCTTTGTCAGAGACTCCAGCACTTATTTCTTCAGGGGGGCTCACTGCTGGTTCAGAATGGACACATTCAACTTTCCCCTTTACAAGCCAGAACTCATCAGCTCTGGCCTTGAGGGAATAGACTGAAAGGGGCCTTCCTTTGGGGTTGAGACAAGACTCTACTGCAGGTGGGAGCTAGACCATCCTCATTCCAAGCCCTCAGTCAGAGGCTAAGCTCTCTGTCCTGCTCCCAGGCAATATCGTCCAAAATTCTTAGACTGAAAGTCCTTGTTTGGAGTTTCTCTTTCTTCCCTTTGTGGAAATATACCCAGTGGAATAATCTTGGACCTGGCAAGGCTGTTCTGCAGAGTTTTCCTATTGGATGTGGTGCCTGCAACACTGCAGGAGGGATATGGGCACTCTCTTTCCTTCCCTGGAATTTTAGACTGTGAGGGGTTTTGTATTGCTGCAAAGTATCCCAGGCACTCAACTCTTGCCTATTTCACTCCTAGCCTAGAGGCTTTTCAGGAGATAATAGTCTAGGGCTCTCTATTCCACATAGGTCCCAACTTGCTTGCAAACTGACCTGTGCGGGGCCCAGAAAACCCCTCATTGTGCAAATTTCTGATCTCTCTGCTCAGAAAACCCCTCATTGTGCAAATTTCTGATCTCTCTTAGCTCACAATGCAGGTGGGGCACCCCACAGACTTGAGAATGGGAAAACTGATTCTCTTTCCTAATCCAGTCAGCAATATTTCTGTTTTGATCATCCCTGCTCCTTCCCTGCAGTCAGCAATTGCCTTTGTGCATTTGCTGTCTGTCACTCTCAGAAACCCTGTTGCATCATCATGGTTTCTTAGTCTGAGTTTTTATAGTGAACTCTTCAGCCTGCTGCGCAAACCATGAAAGCATCCCACACTGAGTTGTGATCTCTGATTTTCACAGGTGTGGTGGACTCTCACTGCATCCCACCACCAGAGACCCCATAGCCTCCTCTTTCCTCTCCATTGCTGCATTTTCACAGCCCCAGAGTTCAAAAGGGAGGGCACCGTGTAACTGCAGTTTCAATCTGGTCTCTTTGCTGGTGGAGCTACTATGTGTGGGGTCCTTGTCACACTTCAGTTCCTTAAGAAGTTTCTATGTGGTACCCACACTGAGGTACTAAGTCACTGTCTGGTTTTCCACACATATAACTTCCCCAAAAAGCAAAATGTATCTCAAAGTCATGGCTGCAGCCTTCAGGTGTCTCTGACAAACCTGGGTGTGGTGACATGATGGATTTAGGAGTCTGAGACCTTATCTGAGCTCTCCAGGTTGGCACTACAGTTATGAATGTGCTGCTTGCTGTGTGTGTGTGTGGCCTGGTAGCCTTGGTTAGAGGTAAGAAAGGGAGAGAATGAGCACCTTATGCAGCAAGTTCAGCAGAAAAGTGTCCCCAAGTAATTGGAAAAAAAAAAAAGAAATAGTCAGTTTGAAACTGGAAAAGCATGCCTTTGTGCTGCCTGTCACCTATCAGACCCAATAAGCAGAGACAGGGATTGAATTTTTATGGGTGCTTTATTCAGATGGTTGGTGATCTGTGAAGACTGTGGGTTTGTGTCCTACCAGACTACATTTTATATTTCCTTTCATGCGAGCCTTTTTATAACAAAGAACAGTACAGGTGAAGAGTTTTGAAATTCAGAGAAAATTAGATTAAAAAAAAAAACCATCTGCGTTCTCACCTGGGCTGTTAGCTGTCCCAAAGTAAGCATCTGTCTCTCCCTGGAACATAATGGCTGAGATAGCTCTAGCTGTGCCCCAGGTGGTGGTCTTTAGCTGTGCCCTAGGAAGTCATCTATCTATCTCTTCCAGGAGCCAGGGTGGGCTGTACCTGCAGTTCCTGAAACAATAGCATCAACATATGCATTACCTACTAAGCTTATTAACTATTTACCTCAAACTAAAATTTTCCAACTCTTGAGTTCCCCATTAAGTTTAAGTATTGATATCAGACTATTTCTGTGCAAGAGAGGAAAGTGATGGATATAGGAGTTAAAGAAAAGAAAGATCAAAGAGCCAAAATATTCATTAGATGAGAGAAAAAGGAACACTTAAAAACAAGGTGAGTTGTAAAAACATGCCATCACCAGGCATAATTAGTGGAAATTGTTTGAGCCAATAGGAAAGTGAAGAATTAAAATGAGAATGAAAGAAGAGGCAGAATGGGGATGGGGATCAGAGGTAGAGTGAAGGTGGCTTTTCTGTCTCTTGGGCCAACATGAAACATTAATAGGTTTTTGTCCTCTGTGCAGTGACCATCAGTGATGACTCTGCAAGACGTGAAGGTGGAGAAGAACCTCCAAAAGCTTCCACCCCAGCAGTGAAGAGGAAAACTGGTAAGGAGGTGGGAGCTCAAGGCTTGGGCTACAGAAATCTCAATTAAGAACTACTGTTTCTTGGGACATCTATTGTGAGTTCATGTTGCACCACTGATCCAGTTTATCCTGGGTCCTAATTTTTGTATTTTACTTAACCATTTTGGGATGCGTAAGGCAATAAGAAATCACTGTATTTGTATTTTTGAAGAAGATGTTACTTATTGATGGTTCCTATTAATATTGTATATGAACCCATATATTGATTCTATAGTAGAAATAGGCTAGTAAAGTAATAAGTTTGCCTTAAAATTAACTAACTGGCATGACTATTTAGTATTGGATTTATACAATTATCTCCAAAGAGAAGAGAAAAACAAGTATTTCTTCATTGGAAGATCATTGTCATCTAATAACAAACATTGAATAGTGTCAAAAGACAACTCATTCATGTAGTATTAACAGAAATAGACAAAATGTTTTAAAATCCAAATTGTTGTGTTTGACAGAATTCTTCAGCTAGTCATGACATACAAGTATAGTGACTTTCAAGGACCTTTGCAAATAGTATCTTACTTTTTTCTTTATAGCAACTGTGGTGGGTAAACAGGATGGATGTGGTCACCCCTCTTTCTAGATAAGAAAACACAGTTACATAAATGTTTTGAGGTGTTTTACAAAGCCTTATAGAGATAAAAAGAAGTATAAGACTAGCTTCCTGGATTTGGCATTTTTTTGGTTAAAGTGGAACTTGAAATGGGTATCAAAATGGTATTTCCCTAATCCTATGGACAGCATGAGTGGTAAAAAGATCTGCAGTTCTTTAGGGCACAGACTTCTCCTACTTATTTATGGCACAGAAACTTCTCCTATTGAGAAAGTAGGAAGGGAAACCAACCTTCCTACTCAGGATATTGGAAACATTCCTGTTCAGGAAAACACTAGGAGAATACCTCCAAACTAATAAAAGTGTTACCTGGTCTTTATGTTACCTAAGTACAATTTTGTCAATAATAAACTTCCTGTAATACCTCACTATGTCTATCCATGTAAAATGTAAGGTTACTTCAGTTTTTAGGGAGTGTACTTTATAACTTGTGTCTCAGTGTAGGCAAACTGCTCTAAAGGGTGATTTTAAAGTCAGTCTATGGCTCAGACATAAGAGATTGTTTCCCAGCCTTGCAAACAGCTCAAGGGTCACAGGTGGTTGGGGGGCGGGAGGAGTGTCTTTATCTTCAACACAAGATTGCCAACTTCCTCTCGCAAAGAAACAGCAGATGAAGAAAGTGTGAAATGGCAATAGATGGAGTGAGAAGAGGAAGAGGGAGAAGTGTAGAGAGGTCAGGTTCAAACAGAGCGGTGAATAGTCTCTGCTCTGGGGACAGGAAATGGAGCATCACTAATCCCCAAGACACTTGACTTAGAAGAGCACCCAGTGCCCTGGTGGCAAGTCATGATTTGCATGGTTGTTCAAGATTTTCCTGTTTTCTCATTAGTGAATTTCCTCTGAGAAGGTTTTTTTGGTTGCTCACTGTGACAAATAAAACATGTTACTCTTGCGCAGTGATTAATATCCTCGACTCCTTAGAATCGAGTGCTCACAATGCTAATATGCACAGGATATGAATATATAAATATATGTTTTATAGTTGTCCAAACAGTTGTCTCCACTTTCCCTCTCTCACCCTTTCCCACCTCCCATCTCAATCATTCCTGTTTTTGGCTTTGTCCATGGGTCCTTTATAAATGTTCCTTGAGGATTTTCCCCTTCTTTCCACCCTTACCCTCTTCCCCACCTCCCTCTGGTTACTCTCACTTTATTCTTTATGTCAATGTCTCTGGTTATATTTTGCTTGCTTGTTTGATTCATTGATTAGTTTCCACTAATAGGATATGAATATTTTTTTAAAAATTTAAACTGTATTTTTTCATTACTATTTATATGCCTTATATACCCTTTCCCCTGCCCCCAAAATCACCATACTGTCCTTCATGTCCCTGAGTCTCAGGACACGAGACTCATTTTTGCTTGATCCCTTCACCCCTTAATCCCCCCCACCCAGAGCCACCAGCCTGCTGTCTTTCTATGAGTCTATCTCTATTTTGCTCGTTAGTTCAGTTTGTTCATTAGATTCCACATATGAGCAAAATCATGTGGTATTTGTCTATCTCTGACTGGCTTATTTCACTCAGCATAATGTTCTCCACATTCATCCATGCTGTCAAATAGGGTAAAATTTTCTTCTCTTTATGGTTGGATAGTATTCCATTGTGTAAATATACCATCGTTGTTTTATCCACTTATCTACTGAGAGACACTTGGGCTGCTGCCATATCTTGGCAATTATAAATAATGCTGCAATGAACATAGGGATGCTTATCTTCTTTCGCATTTTGGGTTTCCTCAGATATACTCCCAGAAGTGTGAACACTGAGTCAGAAGACAAACTTAGTTTTAATTTTTGAGGTATCTCTGTACTGCTTTCCACAGTGGTTGTACCAATCTTTGTTCCCATCAACAATGCACGAGACTCCCATTTTCCCCACATCCTTGACACCATGCACTGTTTGTTGATTTATTGATATCCATTCTGACAGGTGAGAAGTGAGATCACATTGTGGTTTCAATTTGCATTTCTCTAATGATTAGTGATTTTGAACATCTTTTCATATATCCATTGACCATGTGTTTGTCTTCTTTGGAGAATTCTCTTTTCAGGCCCTTTGCCCATTTTTTTAACTGGATTGTTTTTTTTCGGTGTTGAGTTTTGCAAGTTCTTTATAAATTTTGGGTACTAGCTGCTTATCACATGATTGGTGATCATGTTCTCCCATTCTGTGAATTGTCTTTTTGTTTTGTTGATGGCTTCTTTTGCAGTGCAAACACTTTTAGTTTGACAAAGCCCCATTTGTTTATTTTTTCTTTTGTTTCCTTTGACTCAGGAGATATGTCAGATTAAAAAAACCGCTATTAGCACTGTCCAAAGTTTTACTGTCTTGTTTTCTTCTAGAAAATAATCATGGGATTTCTTAATTTCCATTTTTGTTAGTTCATTATTGGCAAATAAAAATGAAACTGATCTCTGGATATTGTGTGCCCTATTTCTTTTCTGAATTTATTTATCATTTCTAGTAGTTTCTTGGTGGAATCTTTAGTGTGCTCTATGTACAGTATCATGTCATCTGCCAATAATGACAGTATTCCTTCTTCCTTTCCAATTTGGATGCCTTTTATGTCTTCTTCCTGACTCATTGCTGTGGCTAGGACTTCCAGTACTATGTTGAATTGACCCCTGTCTTGTTCCCCATCTTTATGGAGCATGTGAATTTTTGCTTGGTAAATATGATGCTGGCAGTAGATTCGTCATATACAGCCTTTGTTATGTTTATGTAAGTCCCTCTATTCCCACTTTGCTGAGAGGTTTTATTACAATTGGGTGTTGGGTTTTCTCAAACACTTTTTCTGCATTTATCAATATGTTCATGTCATGTCATGACATGAATCAAAAGGAAGGTTTTTATCCTTCCTTTTGTTTATGTGGTGTATCATGTTTAATGATTTGCAAATATTGTACCAATCTTGCATTCCCAGAATGAATCTCACTTGATTGTGGTGTATGATATTTTTAATTGGACCTTTCCTTTTGTCATTATGTAGTGTCCTTCTTTATCTTTTACTATAGCCCTGGTTTTAAAGCTTATTTTTTAAATATAAGCATTGCTCCCCTAGGTTTTTTTTCATTTGCATAAATATTTTTTCCTCCCTTTATTTTTAGTCTCTTTTAGGGAGTATATACCTGGATCTTGTTTTCTTGTCCGTTCAGTTCCCCCATATCTCCTTTTGACTGGAGCATTTAAGCCATTTACATTTAAAGTGATTATTAATAGATATGTATATATTGCCATGTTATTTTTGACTAGTTTCCTCTTTTTTTCTTCTTTCTTTTTTTAAAAGCAAGTCCTTTAATGTTTGTTGTAGTACTGGTTTTGTGTACACAACTCCTTTAGCCTTTTCCTGTCTGGGAAGTTCTTTATTTCTCCTTTAATTAAATGAGAATCTAGCTGGGTAAAGTAGTGTTGGTTTTAGGTCCTGGCTTTTCATCACCTTCAATATTTCACTCTGCTCCCTTCTGGCTTGAAATGTTTTGATGAGAAATAAGATGACAGTCTAATGGGAGCTCCCTTGCAGGTAACTAAGTGCTTCTCTCTTGTGGTTTTAACAGCCTCTTCTTGTCTTTAAGCTTTCCCAACTTAATTATGGTGTGTTTTGGTGTGGGCCTCTTTGGATCCATCTTGTTTTGGACCCTCTACTCTTCCTGGTACTGTCTTTTTTCTTCACTTGGTTAGGGAGGTTTTCAGTAATTATTTCTTCAAATAGGACCCCAATCTCTTGCACACTCTCTTCTCCTTCTGGTATCTTCATGATGTGGATGTTGTTATACTTCATATTATCCAAAATATTTCTTAAGCTCATCTAATTTATTTTATTTTATTTTTCTTTTTGCTGCTCTGCCTTGGTGTTTTCTTCTACTTTGTCTTCCAATTTACTGATTCATTCTTCTGCTTCATCTAACCTACTGTTTATTCCTTCCAACTTATTATTTATTTCAGATATTGCTTTCCTGATTTCTGACTTGTTCTTTTTTATGGTTTTCATATCTTTTTTCACACTGTGGAACATCCTTATAATCATTAGTTTAAAATATATACCTGATAAATTTCTTGCCTCCATTTCATCTAGCTCTTCTTCTGGAGAATTCTCTTGTTCTTTCTTGGTGACTGTTTCATTGTCTTCCCATTTTGGCTTCCTCTTTTAGTTTGTTTGTGTGTATTAGGTTGATAATGCATACACTCTGCTGGAAAATTAGCCTTTATTTTGAAATAATTGTTTCAAGATTAAAAATTCTAGGTGAATACTTATTTCTCCTTAATATACTGATATGACTATTGCATTGTCTTTTAGAACCTATTATAAGGCTGATGGATGTTTTCCTTGTATTTTAACTGTCATTTCTTTCTTAGTAAGCTTCTTTCTCACCAAAATCTATTTCCAACCATTTAATTTTGAAAAATCTTAAGCTACCAATAACATGGGAAAATTTACAGTAAACATAGATTCACAATGAACTTGTACTATTCTTGCTCTATCACATTTCTCTCCATCTATCCATTTCCCTATTTATTCACTAACCATCCTAAATTTGAAACATTTTTAAGTTGCAAACAATAGTACACTTCCCTCCAAACACTTTAGTGTGTGCATTATTAACTAGGCTTCAATGTTTGTATTTCTTTTCTTTTTCTTCTGAGATAAAATTTATAATGAGATGTACAAGTATTAAGTATATTATTCTATCAGTTCTGATTAAATTATCCTCTGGAAAAATCTAAATTTTTATAAAGAGGCAGAACATGACCATCACCCTGGTACTAAAGAAAACCTCTTCTGAGAAGAGGAGGAAGACTTTATTATCCTGAGATATTTCTAAAGAGGGAGACATTCTCTGTTTTATACAGGTCAGGAAACAAATTTGCCTTCTGACCTGGAGGGCTACATTAGCTCTGGCTTCCAGAACTGTTTGTTATTCACACATCCTTGAAAAGATACTCTGGGGCACATGGCAAGCCATGGAGAATTGCCTCCCAACAAACTGATCAGGCACAGCAGATCCTGGCAGTCTCCCCCTGAGGACACCACTCCACCAGCCATGATGATTACTGGGACTGCTGGAAGCTAGGACAAATTTATTCAATTGGTCTCCTTCAGTATTTAACAAACTTCCTAAACTACAATTGTTTTAAGTCCCCCATAATCATCCCTTCCAGTGCAAGTCACTGTGTTTGCATGGGAGGTAAGTGGAGATCTGGCTTTCACACAAGAGGTACAATCCCAAGGCATGCACAGTGGCCATGAAAGAGAGGCATTTACAGTTGTTGAGGCTCTTAAGGGGGATATAGCAGCCAGGGATAAGGTGGGCCCCTGAACACCTGTACTCCTTATAGTTCTCAGTTCTGTTCATCATTGATGGGGTTTGTAAAGAGGTGGGAACAGGACAGTCTCTCCTATCTGACCTTTGTTCATAATGTCCAGATGGCATTTGTCACCACTATAACTCACCACTGAATGACTGAGAATCAGTGTGGGGACATTGTCCAAAGACACTCCACGTGAGATGTGCAGATGCTGGCACCAGCCCCTATTTCCTTGTGTCTGATGCTGAGTGGCAGACTCAGCATCTATGTAGTGGGAGACCTGGACCAGCTGGTTTCCTTGTGGAGAGGATTCAGGGCTGTTCTGAATGACAGATGTCATAATGCCTCTCCACCTCCCATAGCTTCCAGCTGTTTCCTCCAGGTGCCTGGATCTTTGCTCTTCCTTCACTGACATGAAACCAATGTGTGTCTTTCTACTGGGTCCAACTTTATCTTTCTTTCCATAATCTCCTACTGTCACTCAGACTTTTCATCCAGAAAAGTCAGACATAGAAAGTGCAAAGGCCTTTTAAAAAAATCATAACAACAATTAAATCCAATAGTCTGGGCATTCTGATGATTCTGCCTTCCAGGCTGGTTGGGGAAAGAATGAGGCATCATTTCCAGCAAGGGTCAGAACAGAATCCAGAATTTTCAGAATTGGCCTCGATAACACCATTATTGCCACCCCACCCTACCCCACCTTTGGTCCTGTTCACAATGCAGGAAGAAGCTAATCCGTTTCTGCCTTCCTTGGGGACAGCTGACTTACATTACCAAAGAGCCATAACAGAGAATTATGTGCATAGGAGGAGACTAAGTCTTAAAATTATATGATCAGAGCATTGAGTGTAGTTTTTGATAAAGCACACACCATTCCTCAGACTGCAAATAATCCAGCCAGCCATGAAATTTGCAGGTTGCTTTAAAGCTTCCTGAGCTCCCCTTTCCTGAGCTTCCCCTTTCCTGAGCTTCCCCTTTTTAGAGAAGGCTGTTATGGGGAAGAAATTAGGTGAAGCAGTGAACACAAATAGAAAGTAGATACCATCTCCATTAGGTCACCCCATCTTTGCCCTCTCTGCTCCTGAGTCAGAGCTCACAAAGGATGAGGCAGGTACAGTCTCAAACTTTGTCTCCAACGACCTAAGTGCAGGGAAATAGCCCAGCTGCAGAGCTCACTTCTCCCAAGACAGCAGCTGTATGCATCACTGTCACGCAAGAATTAGCGGGGGGGCTGACTGCATGGGGAACTAAGACAGTTGTATCGATGCTAGTTGTCCCAGCTAAAGCATTCTGATTGTTGGGGGGTGGAGATTGAGAGACACAATGAAGGTAGACATTCTGTGATTATGTATCAAAAATGCCAGTTAAAGAAAGACTCTGAAACTCTGGAGATTTGTGGAATAAAGTTCCCTAAATACTTCCATGACTTCACCAAAAGGACCTCAAAATGGTAGAAAGTTTTCCATGTGCAATTGAAATATGAGACAGAATGAAGAATCTTCTTTTTCAGGGACAGGACAGCAGCCAGATGTGCCTGTGAATTTTCAAGATGAATTACTTCCTGTGACTTGTAACGGGACGATGGGGCTGTTAATTAAGAGGAAAATGGAACGAGGTTGGTTTCATGGCTTACTTTAATTTGCAGCTGCCACAAGAAGGAATCACATGATATAATGAAATTACCCATGTGTACTTCCTGTTGTTAAAGGAATACAGGCCCACTGTGACTTGAAAGAAGAAGGAGGGATCCCTAAAATAATATTCTTACATTTTTAAAGATTGTTAACTTTTTAAATTTTTATTTATTTATTTTAAGAGAGGGGGGAGGGAAGGAGAAACAGAGGAAGAGAAACATCACTGTGTTGTTACTTCTCATGTGCTCCCCATTGGGGACCTGGCATCCAACCCAGGCACGTGCCTTGACTAGGAATCAAACCGGCAACCCTTTGGTTTGTTGGCTGGCACTCAATCCATTGAGCTACAACAGCCAGGGTGATATTTTTACACTATAAGCAGTGGTTCATATTAAGTGCTCACCCCCACGTGTATGTGTCCATGAGGATGCCCAAAGAATCAAAGAAAAATGCAGGATCATCAGTCTATGGGTAGAAAATACTGCATTTTTCACTTTGAATCAGATATAACAGGGTAGAGGCCCTCAGCCTCCATGTTCACATCCTGTGTCCCATCTGGGTAATCACCACCAAGACAGGGTGTTAGATGCAGTGAGGAGACCACAGAGTTTAGAATCAGAAAACCTGATCCCAGCCTCAGCTCTACTGAGAGTGACGTTGTGAAGACTGGAACCTTCCTGAGCCTGAAACTTCTCATCTAAGAAATGGGTAATCATTACAAATCTGCCTCCTGGTGTGACATTGAGAATTAATTTACATGATGAATGTAAAATATTTTGTGCTTTTGAAACTATAAATCTTTTAAATAATTATTTTGAACTTCTTATCAAATTATTCTTAATATGGCTATGTGAACAATTAATATAATTAAGTGCTTGCATCATAGCTATCTTTTAAGCAGCTTCATTGAGATATAAGTCACACATACATTTCACCATTTTAAGTATGGAATTCACTGTTAACTATTTGTCTTGTTCATTCACAAGATTGTAAAATCATCATTATGATCAAATTTTAGAGGGTTATTTTCCCCCCACTAAAGGAAACCCCATGTGTCTCAGCAGTCAATGCCAATTTCTACCCCACCCCATCACCCATTGTGAGCCATCATTAATTACATTCTGACCAACAGATTGATCTATTCTAAGCATTTCATATCAATTGAGTCATAAAAACTGTGCCTTTTGTCACTGGTTCTTTCACTCAGCATGATGTTTTCAAGGTTTATATGTATGGTACCTTGTATTATAGTTCTTTTTACTGTTTTATAATACATTAGTCCATTGTATGGATATACAATTTTGCACTTATCTATCAGTTTGGGTTTTCTCACTTTTTAAATAGCACAGATGTTTTTACTTGTGTAAAGATTTTTGTGAACATATTTTAAACTTTCTTTGGTACATACTCCATAGTGGCATAACAGAATTAAATGGTAATTTTACGTGTAGCTTATTGGGTAAAAACCAAGCTATATTGCACAGTTATGTACTACTTTATATTTCCAACAGCAAAATCTCGGGGCTCCAAGTTTTCTACATTTTCATCAACAATCGTGATTCTCTTCTTTTATTATGGCCATCCTATTGGGTGTGGTGTACTATCTCATTGTTGCTTTGATTTCCTTTTCTTTAGGAAAATGTTGTTAAGTACAATATATAACTATCTTTTATATAAAAGTTAAACTGTCCATTTAATAATATTTCACAATTATTTTACTGTCAGCTACCCATGATTTCAAGTATGGAAAAATTTCTTCTCAATAATACCATTAAACTGGAAGAACATTGTTGTAACACAAGACACAGATGTTGCCATAAAGCCATTGTGAGCAGCAGAGCCCTCACTTAAGACTTTCCTCCAAAACAAGAAAAGTATTTAAAGGGGTCTTGCAGGATTGGGGGTTTGGAAGTATGAAAGAGGAGGCCAGGCTCTCCGCTATCAGATCTTGTATCCAAATATGTTGGCTTCAGATCCAGTGCTGGGGGAGGTCAACATCTGAGCTGTGAGATCAAAGGTTTCAGGAACAACTTACCCATATCTTTCAGGAACTACCACGAAGTGCATAACAAAGAAAGAAATGTGTTCCTTCACCCTCAGTGAATTTGAAGTCAAAGGAGGCTACGAAGCATCAGATGACTGGAGAAAGAGTCTGCACTGTGGTGGGAGGACCCTGGAAGACCTGATGAAGGTATTCCAGTGACAGGGGCAGTAGGTGTGGTTTCTTGTTTTGGTCAAAGATGAGGTCACTATTTGCTCATCAAATACACGTTGAGTTGTGGCTGGAGCCTGAGGTCCCGGACTTTATCCTTTCCCCAGGAAGAGGCCCCCCAAGTTCATACCTCAGTACAAGGGAGCGCACTGATTTCTTAAAGGGGCTCTGTCTGGGTGGATGGAGGGGTACTGAGGATGGAAAGGTTGTTCTGTCCCAGGTGCTTATAGACAACATTAGGCACAGAAAGAAAGAAGATAGTCTGCAGTCAAACAAGTGGCCAGAAGACACTCCAGAAAAGAGTGGTGTAAAAACCAAGAGCAAAATTACCATGACTCTGTGACTCGAGGTAGAGGGATTGTGTGCGACACAGCATAATCCCTCAATTGCAGTTGTTTGTGTAGGGAGTTAACGCCGAGATAAGGAGTTTAAAATCATAACATAGACAATGCAGAACCAGAGAGTCTCCTGAGCTGTGAAGTGACATATTTCAGACAACATGGGGACGGGAACTGACTTCACTGTTTTTCAGCCCAAGAAACGTATAGTCAACCGGCAATGCTCAGCTCCCAGGTAACTCCTGTCTGACTGTTCCCTGACTGAGCTGCCCTGGTCACCGCTTCCCTGGGCCCCCTGAACTCACTACTTAGGCCCTCACTACACTGTTTTATTCTTATCCTTCCATGCATTCCCTTTGTCTCTCTTGACCCCCCGGAGGTTTGTCCATGGTTAGGTACTCAGCATTGTCCAGAGTATGTGACACTCTGCAGGTGTGGGACACGTGTGTCAGTTGAAAAGCCCTGGTGTGAGGATGCAAGTGTGAGTGACACTGGTGGGAATGGAAAGGAATAGTGAGAAGTGTCAAAGAGATTGTGAAGAAAAACTTAGGAAAATAGCACATGAGCAAGGAAAACGTTTTGAAGATTATTTTCTAGGGACCATTTTTTACTTTGAGAAGAACAGGTGAGGAGAGAGAAGAGGCTTCTCATTTACACACAGAAATATTTATGAGGAGTTTGGAATGCAAGACCCACAAAACTTAAATACAGACTTTCCATACACTTATATATTTTTATCTTTCAGGATGGAACTCTACCTACGCCTCCAGAAAAAGACTGTACAAATAAAGAGGTGATTATTACTTTATATAAGTTCTTATTACATAACTCATTTTACATGTACAGCATGTTTTTTATGATTTCATAGTGGCATAATTAACATTGTCTTCCCTGTCTTTATTCCATTTTATTTATTTTGCATGCCTTCAGAGTTACTCCATTGAACATTAGGTTGTATGCAAGGTTATCTGTGAACTGTAGACCATTTGAGGCTGGGATGATAAGGTTCCATCAAAATAGCCTCAAAGAAGTGTTTTAGTTACACAGATGTAAGGGTGTCAAACCTACTAAGCAAACATAATTATGGAATACACAAAAATATTTTTAATAATGTCACAAGGTTATTTTCAACTCAATCTCATATTTTTTATTAAAGGTTACTATTTTCTAACTTTAATGAAATGTGATGGAGTAAAGTTTGCTCCCTATCATCCAGATGAACCCACATAATAGACAATCTATCTTGGGACATATATGAACCATATACTACTTTATGAAAGAGGAAACTAAGAGTATATTTCTTCTCTGATTACTTACATACTCTTTCATCCTTCAATAAAATATATGAACAGACATACAGAATTCTTTCTCAAGCAGAAATTATTGGCAAATTTTTCATGAGGATGGTGCTGTTGGGGAGAGAACTCTTGGGAGATGAATGTAGCCTGTGTGAAGGGCTGACCTGGAAAATTGTTTACTTTGATGCCCTCCTTTAGCTCCACCTCAGAGGCTAAGCAGGACTCCTTTCTATTTGCGAAAGTAGTTTCTCCCTCTGTGGAAGATGACCGTAAAGGCAACAAAAAAAAAAAAACATAATATGCAGTATAGATTCAGGACAAAGTGGTAGTTTTTACAACATTGGGTATGAATGAGAACTTGAGAAGGAGAAGAAGGTGCAAGGTGCCATTCTCACACACTTCAGGTAGAAATGGCAGCCCAGAACATCCACAGAATTCTACATTAGCTTACACAGAGCTGGTCACTGGGACTTCATCTAGCACTGGGAATGTGAGATCGGGCCTTTGCATTATCTGATGTTCTGGATTTTTTAAATAACCAGATGTTGGGACATTTCATCCACTGTGTTTAGTAAAGAGAAATTACTGTTGGACCTAGTCAATGATTACTTTAAAGAGTAGTGCCTCTACCATTCTCCATTTGTCAAGGGTTACTTAATCTGGATTACCTAAAGGAGCTAGCAACTTCCAGCCCAGAGGTTCCATCCTTATCTATGGGCACAAATGTTGGCAGAAAGACTCAATTGTTTATATATTTTGTGTTTCCTTGATCAAGGACAGAAGCTTCCCAAAGTGGCAGGTCTTAGGATCCACTACTATCTCAGTCCAAAACTTCTGTTTTAATGGAGCCCCAGGTTTCTGGAAACTTCAGTGTCATTCTTGGCACCACTCCACAGCTTCTTGTGCTAATAAGGGCCACTTATACTTTAAGTGACAACTGTTGTGTTGTCTAAGACAAAAATCTATTATATTCAGCCACAATAATCATTTATTGTATGCCAATATATGTTTTAAAAAATAGTGATAATCTCTTTCTCTAAGTGAAACAATACTCATTTAATCATTCGATATAGTTATTAAGTGCATAAAATGCTTAATATCCATTAAAGAATATTGAAATAACATCCCTAGCCTCAAGGATTGTTTCACCTTTATTGTCTACCATGGAAGAATAACTACTAGGAGCAGGGGATCCTGGGATACCCAAGAGGCAGGCAGCAACATGACCATTTCTCAGGTCACTTTCCAGTGGATCACATTTGTCCATGACCTCTCTGCCCTGGGTGAAGATGAAAACTGAGGCTACCTAAAGAGAAGGAGGTCAAATCATTCTACTTAAAGAACATACAAGAGAAATGCAAGTGTAGTATGCAGCAGTCAGTTTCTTGTGGAAAGGCAGACAGATGCCATCTTGAGATTTGGAAGAAAGGGAAATGAGGGTGGCCTTCTAGAAGAAGAACAACAGTACCAATGACCTTGGATTTATTTTATCTTTGTTGTGAGGCCCTGAAACAGCTGTAGGAAGTGGTGGATATCTTCCCTGGGATACATGCATGTTTCCCAGGACCCTAAAAATAGATGGAGACCCAGAGGGTCCTATCATACTACCAATGGCCACATTTCATGGGGAGAAGAAGGCAAGTGTTCCAGCAAGAATGTTCTCACACCTGTTCATGAAATTTTCTTCAGCAAACATTACAGACCAATTCAACAATGACTTCTAAGATCCTCATTCATTAATAACCACATTTGCTCAGGCTCAATATCAATTTATGCTGTACTGAAATCACCTAAAGACATTTGAACAGTCTCAGTTCCCGCTGTTCATGTCATTCAGGATTCTCCCATGTTATTCTTCCATTCTCCCTAAATGGCAGCTATGGCAAGACTTTCCTTGGGGCTTGCATTTTCTCATATATAGATATTTCTAAATCAAAAGAAATAACCAGAATCCTGATTCCCCCAAGGTAAGAATATTCATCCAAAATTCCAGCAAAATTATTAAAATAATTCTTAGTGACTTTTCATCTTTTATTACTTTCTACATTAAGAGAAATAAAATAGATGTGTTCCAAATTATCATGCCCATTGGTGTCAAGAAGGGCATTTCTGATCTTTGTGTGTTATTAATCAAGATACAATACAGAGGAGTTCTGGCCAAGATGGAGGCATAGGTAGAAATCCTTCACTTTCTTGCACAACCAAAAGGAGGATAACAATCAATCTAAAAGCAATAAACAACCAGAAGTGCCAGAAAAATCAAACTGCATGGAACTCCAGCAACCAAGGAATTAAAGAAACAGTCAACCAAACCAACCAGACTGGTAGGAGGGAGATGGGGCAGACAGCTGGATGGAGAGAACCCATGGCAAGGTGACAGACCACACAGGTGAGGCTGACTGAAGGGACCCACAGCAAGACAGCTGATTGAACTGCTTGGTGAGATGGGGGCTGGCTGAGAGAACTCAGGGTAAGTCAGTGGACCAAGCAGGCAGGGCTGGCTGAATGGGAAACCAAGACTCAGAGCTGACTGTGGACTATGGCGAGGATTGCCATGGTGGGAGAAACTCCAAGTCTCAACTGAAAGTTTGTTGGAAAGTGGGGCCAGAGCCCAGCAAGTGAGCTGCATTGTTCCCTCTCTGACCTCTCCCCCACAGACGGTGACACAACATGGCAAAGAGGGTTGTCCTGCCCTGGTGAATACCTAAGACCCTGCCCCCTTGCAACTTAACAGGTGCACCGAGACAAAGAAATATGGCTCAAATGAAAGAACAGAACAAAACTAAAATAGAAAAAGAGCCAAGCAATAAGGAGATAGTCAACCTATCTGATGCATAGTTCAAAAAACTGGTAATCAAGATGCTCACAGAACTGATTGAGCTTGGCCACAAAATGAAAAAACAAATGAAGGATACCCAAATATTCAGGGAACTAACAATGACAGGAAGAAAACAAGGACTCAAATCAACAATTCAGAACAAAAGAAAGAAATGCACATGCAATCAGAACAAAAAAAGATGAAAGAATTCAAGAAAATGAAGAGAAGCTTAGGAACCTTTGGGACAACTTTAAACATTCCAGTATCCAAATTATAGGGGTGCTAGAAGGAGAAAAACAAAAGCAAGAAGTTAAAAACGCATTTGAACAAATAATGAAGGAAAATTTCCCCAACCTGGCCAAGGAAATAGACTTCCAGGAAGCCCAGAGAGTCCCAAAGAAGTTGAACCCAAAGAGGAGCACACAAAGGCATATCATTATTAAGTTACCGAAGATATAAGGTAAAGCAAGAATCTTAAAAACAACAAGAGAAAAGGACACAGTTACCTACAAAGGAGTTCCCATAAGACTATCAAATGATTTCCCAAAAAAGACCTTACATGCAAGAAAGAGCTGTAAAGAAGTATTCCAAGTCATGAAAGACAAGGACCTACATCCAAGATTGCTCTATCCAGCAAAGCTTTCATTTAGAATGGAAGGGCAGATAAAGTGCTTCCCAGATAAGGTAAAATTCAATGAGTTCATCATCACCAAGCCCTTATTATATAAAATGTTAAAGGGACTTATATAAGAAATTGAAGAAGATCAAAAACTATGAACATTAAAATCACAACAAATTTACAACTATCAACGGCTGAACTTAAAAACAAAACAACAAAAACAAATACTAAGCAAACAACTATAACAGGAACATAATCAGAGAAATGGCCATCACAGAGGGTTTTCAGTAGGGAATGGGAGGGGGAAAATAGAGGGAGGGAAGGCACAGGGAATAAGAAGCATAATTGGTAGGCATAAAATAGGGAGAGGTTAAGAATGGTATAGGAAATAGAGAAGTCAAAGAACTTATATGTACAACCCATGAGCATGAACTAGGCAGTGGGGAATGCTGGAGGGTTGGGGGGTGCAGGTCAGAGGATATACAAAGAAGAAAAAATTGGGAAAACTGTAACAGCATAATCAATAAAAATAAAAAAGAATAATCTCAACTTAAAAAAAGATATAATATAGATTGTTAGAAAAATTTTCTTTATGTGTTAAGGTGGAACCATTCATTAGGGTCTCAGATACTCGTATGCAGTGGATCCTACTGGTACAAAGGAACTAACAAAGGGAGCTTAAAAATTACTGTGAGAAGAAGGAGGGATAGATTGGGTTTGGGATATGAGTAAGAGTATAGACCAGGGATAGATTCTCAGATTTGTGAAGGAAACCATATATTTTATGAAATGGAAACATCAAGAAAAAACATGAAAAAAAAAGAACATGAAGTACATGTGGGGACAGAAGAACAAATTAAGTTTTGACTGCATGAGTTTGGGGTGTGATTCAAGGGCTCATGAGGAGATGCTGGGTGAGCACAGTATGTGCACAAAGGAAAGAGATAGGCTGGACAGCTGGAAGCTAGACTGATGTAACTGCATCTTTGAAAGTGCTTTGACCATCTGCGGCCACCTGAATGGCCAAAGATAGAAACCTGAGGACTCTCTTTAAATGTTGTACAAGGAGAAGGATGGGAAGGAAAGTGATAAAGCAGTGAGGCTGTGGGAGTAACCCCAGGAGAGAGATGACGTACACTACACATTGTTAGAGAAAGCAGACGGGGTCACAGTAGAGAAAAATGGATGCTGTCACCCCTGCCTCCTCCTATTGTTCAACAGCCTACTTCCCTCCCACCAGGACTCATATATGGTGGGGGGCCAGTCCCCAAGCCAACCTCGTTTGTGTCACCTTAGACAGTCACAGGGAGGGAAGAATTTCTTCAACAGACCATGGGATAGACAGAATGTTTCTGTCTGGGAGAGAACAACCCCCAAATGGTTCTCAAACTGTCTGAATTCTCTCAGAAGGCAGAACCAGGAAAGCAACCAGGGCAGGTATAGTTCCTGAAGGTTCCTCATTCACATGTAAATGCTGATTTTTATGTTTTTTTAAAAAGTGGTTTTCTGTTGTAATCACCTCCTCTTCATCCCCTTGATAAGGGAAGAATATACACTGGTACTTTGGGGGATGGAAAATAATGGCATTTGCCGGTGGGTAAATGGATGGATTGACAGGTGTTATTATTCATATATACTCCCAGACTAAGAAACAAGGAGAGTACCAGGCACACAGGTGTCACCAAGGTGGTCCTCAGGACTCAAGTGAACCACCAGGGGCTGGGAAGGATGAAGTGGCCCCCTGGTTTCCCTGGGAAGTTGTGTCTGGCTTGTTTGAAAGATGCCATGGCTGAGAGGGAACTGATATTCCAGGATGGGCAGGGTGACACTTGGTCCCTTGACAAGGAGCATTTTAAGCTGTGGAACCTTATCCAGGGTAGCATGGTGGGGAGAGGAACATGCAGATAGGCCATCCAAGACCATCTCACTGTTACCAGATGCCATAGCAGTACCTAACATTAAGCTTTAATATAAGTCCCTACACTGTGTTTTCTTCATTAGCAAAAAGCTCAATCACAGGACAGGTTTTTGTCATGAATACATGTACCTGTATATAACACAGTGTATCTTCGTATCTGCTCTATACATTTATTTGGTTTTAATGAGTAGGAATTATGCCACAGAAGTGGGATTCAAATACTGTCCAATTTTCTCTTTTCCAAATGAAATAAAATCTGGTTATTGGGCAAATACTCAGACTGGTAAGCAATCCAGTTGCAGCTGATTGGGCAGGGAACCCCCATTGTGTGTTTAGAACAAAGCACTTGCCACACTCCCTGGCCACACAGAGACAAAGCCTCCGTACCTTACGTGCCTTGAGTCATGGGGCGTTTTCCTCAGGCTTCCAGAGCCAAAGACCTCCATCCTCCCAGGCACAACCTGGTCATCTCTGTCATGGTCTTTCCAACCCAAAGTAACTGTCACAGGGCTAGGAGCCCTCCAGGCCGAGAATCCACAGTCCAGGACCCCTACAAAACCCTTCAACTTCAACTCACAGGGAGCCTAGAGCCAATAAGGGGGGATCAGCACTTTCTTAGAAGTTTTTTCCATCTTATTAATTTCTCAATATTCTACCTTTCCATGACTCATTCCAGGCATTGTGGTGTAGACAAATGGATTTAATACTTAATTTCAGAAACTTGTTTTTTCTGCAAGGCAATAAAAGATTCAGTTCCCCATTAAATCATCTCCTTGTTTTGTTGCCTGCCTTTGTGTTAGAATCTCTGGTTTTATAGGCAAAACTTCCCTGGTCTGATACACAACCACTCCTCTCAAACTTCATGGCAGAGAAAGAATCCTTCTTCTGAAACCCCCATTCAGTGTTCTTCCTTCACAGCTCAGCTCAGTGAAACACATGAGTCCCTGCAGGTTTGCACAAAGGCCGTGAGTCCTAGATTCCCACAGCACTGGTGGTCATCAGGGGCCCATGGATATGTCATTGTTTACCTTCTAGGGCAAAGACTCAGACAAATGCAAGATCTGCCGGGATGGAGGAAAGCTCTTCCACTGTGAAACTTGTCAGAGCTTCTTTCATGGGGACTGTCATCTCCCACCTGTGCTCAGGAAGAGGTTTGTGAGATGCAGCCCCCTGTCTCCTTTTATAGACAAATCCTCCTGCCATGTACACTCCCCCTTCGGTGTTAATTTTTGTTTCCTGATGGGGGCAGAGTGGGGCTGGAGATATAGGATCCAGCAGTATGATCCCAGAGGCTTTTGAAAGATGCTGGTAGCAGGAGGGGAATGTTCTACTCTCTCCTCTGGGAGGCTGAAGCTGGTGGGTGCATCCTTTGCCTTCACACTGCTACTGTCCTTTCCAGAACTTTCCTAACACAGACTCCTGTTCTCAGGAGTAGCGATGCCGACTGTTTGTATTCTGTGCTTATTTGGAAAAGGCAGGATCCTGGACTGGTTCCTCATTTCCCATGTTCTCAACAGGCTAATGGAGGACCATTCCCCACAGGTTGAGGTCCAGTCTCCAGCACTCAGGCCTGGTGGACAGGGCTCCTTGTACTCCCAGAAGCTCAGATGGGGAAAGGAAAACCCACAACCCACCCTAACACAGTCAGATGTGCTACTGTCCAGCCGCTCTCCCCTGGGTTCACCCTCTATGGGAGGAGGATCATCACATGAGAATCGTGGAGACCCTGGGTGGTGTCCCCTTCCTTCATCCTCCTGCTGTGCCTACTGGCCATTCCTGAAAGGAGAGCAGTGGGAGACATAGGGACTGTACCTGTTCTAGGCTTTGTGCTTTCTCACTTCTATCTGACATCTCAGGGTCAATTGGCGGTGTACCTTCTGCAAAGTAAATGATCTACCAAGAAATGAGCAGCGTTATACAGAATCTACGGTCCTGGAGAAGGCGATAGGGCATGAGCAGAAGATGTTGGTGAGTTGGATTCAAACCCCAAGTCTTTTCCTTTCCGCTCTCATGTGAGAAGTCAAATAGTCACAGGATGAGAGAAAGGGTGTCAACAGTTGCCCCATCCTCTGACCACACTTGAACCACGCTGAAAACTCCCCAGAACTTTTCTGCAGGGAAAAAAAAACTTGGCCATTACATGTTAGTGTCCTAGAGCAATACCAGTTTGGGGAAACTTCCAGAAGAGTGGTGTGGGAATGCGTGTGTCTGGGCATGCCTGTGGGCTCTTTCTTTCCTAGCTGTTTGTCATTCACTGCCTCCTTTTTTTCTGCAGAAATGTCAGTTCCTCCTCTTACAGGTCTATGACCATTTAGAGGGCAACGTTTTCCCAAATATTCCATGTGAAAATTATGTGAGTAACAATAACAAACCATGAATATGGGCCACCATGATGTTATCTGACCTTGACATGGGCACTTGTGGGATTTGTGATCTGAAGCCCCTGGGAGGGAGAGCATGAGCTGCTTTTATCTTCACCTTGGATTTCTGCTGGATTTGATGGGAATCCACAGAAGGCAGCCATTGCACTTTGACAGTAACTCTCTTATTGATATATTTCTCACCAGGCTAAAGAGGCTTCTCAATGCCTAGAGAAACTTAGAAAGTTGGACAAAATCAAGGAGAGTCTACTCAAGGAAAACTACCGCTCTGTGGAAAGTTTTGTGCAGGCCATGTACAAATTATTTCCTATCCCCAGTGTAAGTGGCTCCCCTGCTTCCACTTCATTTTCCTTCCAATTAAGTCACTCTGCCTTCATTTCCTGGTGCTGGGAAATTTTAGAGTTTCCCTTCTCTTAGGACAAGCCTATATAAGCAAGGGTTCAAGAAGTGAGTAAGTTTTTAAATTCAGGATTTAAGCTCACTGGGGAGAGTAACAGTGAGTCAGAAGGTGTTTCTATAACCAGTACCCCATGCCCCTGAGGGCTCATTCTCCTCTGAAAAGGTGTCAGGTGCCCATTGAGAACAGTTGCTCCCTCCACACTCCAAACCTAAGAAGATTGTGTCCTAAAGTCATGTTGTTGTTCTTGTTGTCTCTCCCCAAATATACACAATTGGACCTCTCATAAATCTCAACTGCAGAGTCCTTTGCATGTGAGTGAACTATATACTTAACAGGGGACACAAGAGGGGCATAGAAGTGACAAGGTGAAAGGAAAGTTACTGGTTGTACATAGACCTCTGTGATATTGGATTTTTACTAAGATCTTAGATTATTTTTCTAACTCTCACTTAAAGAGACAACCCAAATATAAGGAGTAAGAGTCCTTAAGAGTAGTAATGATTTCCCATTTCTGTCTCGTCATCAAGAAGTAATCACACTCTTGAGAAACAAGTTACTCTTAGCTGCATGTGGTTTTAGACTTAACCTGGTTAAGAGTCCTGATCATTGTCAGTTGCAAAGTGTCTAATGAAACTGATAAAGAGTGTCATTATCTTTTTTTTTTCCAGTGCAATGATGCAAAATTAACTCTGGATGATTTTAAGAAGAATTTCAAACAAATCTTCGCTATTCAGGAGACAAATTAGAACAGTTCACTGGTGTGGTGGATACTGTTTGTACCCTGAAAAGTCCCACTTTCTGGCAAATTTCTTATCCCCCTGCTGCTATGAGGATTGGCTGCCAATGCCCCCTCTCCCCGGAGTATTGCTTTGGGCCAAATGGATCCAGGTTCACCTGAACATTACATCATTTTTGCCTGGGGACTGGTTCTCACTCCAAGTTTGAACCAACTATGTGCAGTAATTCATGTTTCTGTACTCCCCAGAGAATCAGACTAGAGCTGTTGTCCAACTATAGCCACATCCTTGCTTAGCTTTCCCCTCCTTAGTATCCTGCTTCCCTTACCCTCCTCCTGAGAGAATTCTCACAATAAATCACTTACATAAAAGACTTTATACCAGCTTTGTTTTTAGGAAACTTGGCACGTAATGGTCTTAGCCAGCCAGCTATAAGCATGGAATTCTGAGTTGGATCACTGTCTAGCCAGAAGAGTACATGGAGAATATTGACAATATCTGGGGTGCTCAAGCAGTGTGGATGCAAAAATATTCACCCAAATGAGATATAGGGGAACAGGTATACTACCTGTTACAATTGTCTAGCATTAACAAAGGAAGAAATGGTAATAATAATAACTGTATAGTTTGGTGGCTATTTTTAAGCTCACTAATGTATTAAAAGAAGTACATGACAGGCTTAAATATATTCATTATCACCTGCAGCTGGAAAGCAGACAGTAAAGAAAGCCTGCCACAGGTCCTAATTTTAAGAATGACAGAACTTCAGAGAAGACTGAAATCCAAGCTCAGGGTGGCCTGTTAAGTCAAAGTCGAGGCCCTGATAAAGAAAGCATGAAACCCTGAAGCTCAGAATGAGGTATCCCAGGTAGATGCGCTGAACTCATAGGCCAGCAAAAGGTCCCCCTGTCTCTGTTGGTAGGCAGATCCCTTTCCTACCTCCATTCTGTCCAAACTAAGAATAAGCAGAGTTTTCTCATCATAATCAAACTAGGAATATGCTAGATGAGCCTGCCCGTTGCAGACATGGTTTACTCCAGTACAGCTGCAGAAGTGTCCACATGTACCAACAGGTGCTAAGAGATTGTGTGTGGGAGTGGATCCCAGAAAAACAATCTTAGAATGTAACACTGGTTAGGAGGGGAGCTACTGATGCAGCTACACTCTCCTGGCCACAGAGTTTAATTAGCTTGACAAGGTTCAAAGTCTATGACTCTACTATGTTTCTGGGTAGTTCTTAGGGGCTTGCTGCAAAGCACAGTGCACACTAGGTAAAGTGGAAGGAACAAATGCCAGACCTGACAGAGATGACAAAAAACAGGGAGATAAAGCCTTAGGAAGATGACACAGCTCTAATTCTACAGCTGGAAAACCCATCCATCAGATTACTGTGCCCTCATGAGGTCTCAGAAACACCACCTTAAAAAGTCATAATGAATGCACTGTTGACGGGACACCTACATCCCTGAGGTGCTCAGGTGGGATTGTCCTCTGTAGGTTGGAATAATGTAGGAATCATGTAAAAGCTGGATTCCCTAGTAGCGAATGAAATGATAACATTCCAGAATAATTGAAGATGCAAGGCAGCAATAAACTGTCAGAGAAAGATGAGAAATCTCTGTAATGGCAACAACTTAAACAACAACCAGGGATCCCTGCCTATAGATGTCTAAGGAAATAGCTAATAGAAGATGATGTTCTTACACACAAGACAGAGCAGCCAAGAGAACATTGTTTCATATCTATCATCAAAAGAGACTAAAAATAGATGATCAGATGGCTCAAGTGCTACCTCAATGAAAAGGTAACATTCCTTGCACACTTTCCACACCTCAGTAAATACTTGCCCCGTAGGATGGAAATGAGAGGAGTTCTTATAAGAAAGGATCATGCAAATGTACACAGTAATAATTTTCTGAGTTCTCCAACAAGGATACCTATGGCCAATTATTCAAGTAACCAAGTTCAAGACAAAGAAAATACACAGAAATTTTAAGTGTTATTAATAGAGTATCTAAATTGATATCTGAGGACCCCAAACAGCATAATGGCCCCTGTTACAATACACTTATGGAAGTAAGGTAATGTCCACCTAACACTGAGTTCATTCAATCCATGCAGCCATTCAGCAGTCATTTCCCAAGCTCCCAGAGGTATAGTCAGGACACTCATAGCAGTTGGCCAACCTGGTTTTTTATCCTATCATTTCTTAACCTAGGAAATAACAATGATCCTCCTAGAAAAGGCCAGATGGAAGGCTTTGCAACTGAAGTCTTCTTTACTGAAAATAGTAAGTTGAAAGCAATGTCGTGTCTCTGGAAAAGGTGGGAATGACATAGGTTGGTGCCACTGCAAAGATTTCAGGATTCAAGGGTTGTAATCTTTTCTACATCTCCATGTCATTCAGTAGTATGGTTTAGTTAGGCATTAGGCTAGGTGGTTTCTGGCTACTAGATGACTAATAGAAACTCAAGCAAAAGTGGGGCTAATGGTGCCCAGCACTCAGACCTTGGTGGACTGCATTCTGCATATACCAGTCCCTAAAGAGAAAGCCCCACTAGTGGTTCTTCTCTTCCACAGACTATAGCCCCTCATACTATCTGGACAGAGAGCTCAGTTGGCAGTTTTACCTGATTTGGGTTCCTAGTCACACCATACCAACTATGAAGTCCATTCTAGTACTCTGGCTAACTGGAAAAACAAATGTGCCAGACCCATTCAACTGCTGAGTGTTGCATCAGTCCTTGCCATTTAAAATGCTTAACCAGACAACCCCAGCAGCTATACCAACAAGCCTATGGTTCAGGTGATATATGGGACCACATTTATAACTCCATCTAGTGAGAGAGCCCACCTTACAATGCTGTCCTATTGACTAACACAGCCTGTGGCCTCATCCATTCAGGGAATCTACCCAGTAAACTCACTCAATCATAGAGTATAGCTTATAACCCGCCCAGTGAGGGAGCAAGGAAAGTGACACCACCCAATGTGGAAAAGTCCCTATCCCCATCCAACTACATCATGCAGTTGGAGGCCCTCCCAAGTCAGAAAATCTGGCCAGTTACCATGTCCAACAGCAGAGCACAGCCAACGATTTTATTTATTGTGAAGCCAAGCCTGTAACCCTGCCAACTTCAGGAAACAACATTTGGCCTCATAAGATCTCAGATCACATTCTAAGTCCCAGTATGACTGTGAAGCCCTTCGTGTTGACCCAGCTGAACAGGAAGCCTATCCAGAGGCAACATCAGGATAGGGACTACATCCTGAAACATTCCCTACACAGGACCCATTGCCCAACATAGCCTGTAACCCTGACACATTGCAGAATCCAACCAGTGGAACCTCCATACTCCAAAATACAGCCTGAAACATCACCCAACAGGAGGTGATGGCAAAGATCAGCAAGTGGACCCATCAAGCCCCAGAGAACAGTCAGGAGCCTGGCCTGATCAGAAAGCCCAATTAGTGGACCCAGAAAATCACACAACTCAGCCAGCATCCAACCACCAAACTCAGAACACAGGCGTTAACTTTTCCAACATAGACCCTGATAATGTGCTCCCAAACCCCCATGAATGCTACCTAGTCTTCTGTCTGTCTTCTGTTCCAAACTGAGCTGACTGTTAAAAACATTTCCATGATAAAATGAGCCTTTAAAGTCTGGAATAAACACTGCTTACTTATATGCACTGATCCCAACACAAGGAATCAAAGATCATGAAGACTTGGATAAACATGACACTACAAAAAAAACTAATATGCTTTAAAAACTACACCTACAAATGGTGATCTATAAATTGTCTGACAAAGACTTTAGAATAATCCCCTTAAAGAAGTTCAACAAAAAGGAAACTATAAAAAAAGCTAAACTAAAATCATAGAGCTGAAGAACATAATAAATACACTAATGAATTTAATAGGGAACTTTAATAGCAGACTCAGTCAAGCAGAAGAGAGAATCAGGGGATTAGAAGATAGGTTATTTAAAATTATGCAGTCAGAGGATAAATAGAGGATGTAAACAAGTGAAGAATGCCTACAGGATTCATGAGATACTATCAAGTAACACATAAGAGCATTATGGGAATGCCAAAAGGAAAAAAACAAAAGATTTGGAAAGTCTATTTAAAACAATAATGGTTGGAGACTTCCGCCAAGATGGAGGCGTAGGTGGAAGCACTACACCTTCTCCCACAACCAAGTTTAAAAACAACAAAGTTTTAGCAACAAAAACGCAGCCAAACCACAGAAAATTGAACTATACAGAAGCCCGACAACAATGACCCATTCAGCCAAACTGGTAAGAGGGGTAGAGCCAGCAGCAGAGCGGGGTCAGGCAGGAAAGATCCACCTGACCGACCCAGGCGCCTGACCCAGGCATGCAGGCAGACGTGGGCGAATCCCAGGTATGGAATAGCGGGCAAACTCACTGAGGGCGCAAGGCGGTGGATTCACTGAGGGCTGACCATGGTAAAATGGTCAAATATTCACGCATAGATAAACCAGTGAAAGAGGGAGTGGTGAGACAGACTGTGCAGGCCCCAGTGGCAAGAAGCAGCAGAGGAGACCACCATTGTCCCTCTCTGACCCCGCCCCCACATATAGCATCATAAACCAGCGACCTGGGTGGCCCCACCATAGTGAATACCTAAGGTTCTGCTCCTCATATGTAACAGGCACAAACAGATCAAAACATGGCTCAAGAACAACTTAGAGCCCCAAAGCCAACAAATCTAAGCGATGAAGAAATAGCCAAACTTTCAGATGCACAGTTCAAAACACTGGTGATCAGGATGCTCACAGAACTGGTTGATTTTAGTCACAAATTAGAGAAACATATGATGGCTAAACTAATTGAAATGAATGAAAATGCACAGGAAACCAATAGTAATGGAAAGGAAACTGGGACTCAAATCAAAGGAGTGGACCAGAAAGAAGAAAAAAATGACCAAACAGAAAAGGATGAAGGAACAAGAATTCAAAAAAATGAGAAGAGGCTTAGAAACCTTCCGGACATCTTTAAACGTTCCAACATCCAAATTATAGGGGTACCAGAAGGGGAGGAGGAACAGTCACAAGTGGAAACCTTATTTGAACAAATAATAAAAAAGAACTTCCCCATTCTGGCAAAGGAAATAGACTTCCAGGAAATCCAGGAAGCTCAGAGAGTCCCAAAGAAGTTGGAACCAAGAAGGAACACACCAAGGCACATCATCATTACATTAGCCAAGATTCAAATGAAGGAGAGAATCCTAGAAGCAGCAAGAGATAAGGGGACAGTCACCTACAAAGGAGTTCCCATCAGATTGTTAGTGGATTTCTCAAAAGAGACCTTACAGGCAAGAAGGGGCTGGAAAAAGGTATTCCAAGTC